CTCATATTCTCAGAAAATAAAAAATCAATCGAACATTTAAAAGCAAAAACACAAAATTGAATTAGGTTAAAAAATTCAAGGACCTAAATGAAATTTTGAACTTAATTTTCATCTTAATTTATTTATTTTATTCACTTTTAGGAGAACCTATATTTAAATCACATATTGAAAAAAAAAAAACTAATAACATTATTTTTAAAAAAATAATCGACTCCCTTATTTGGATCTAGAATAAGGAATGCATGCAATCTAGAATGGACTTGGCTATACTATTCCAAATTTACAATATACAAAATTGAGCGTGGGTCCCATAAAGTTCTGACTTTTTACTCGAATTAAAAATTAACTAAACTTTATTAATGTCATCTGAATTTCTTTAAGTTAAAAATATTTGTACATAAATCATATTGTATCCCTTTTTTTTTTTTCTTTTTTTTTTTTTGATAGAAATCCCATTTTACTGTAGACGGTCATATGAGTATACGTAAAAGTTATAATGCCGTCGCATATTCTAAGATGACTAAATTATAAGATATTCCAAAAATAAGAAGATATGTCGGTAGAGACAAACAATATTTCTTTAAAAAATACATGTATATGTATAATTACTGGAAATATATACATATAATTAAAATTAAAATATCAGATTGATGATAAATGCGCAAAATCAAAAGGCTTGAGCTTTTGAATCCCTTTTTCTTTTCTCCTTGATAATTTTTCTCTTACTCTTGAAGATATCCATTACACGTCCTACTGACTCAATCTAATAAATTAATAAGTCAAAGCTTATTTTAGTTTATAAAAAATAGCTTATTTTATTTGAACACAAAGTCATCTCTTCAAGTTAATTTAATTATTAGTCTTAGTATTAATTAAAAATTTAGAGAGGATGAATGCGGATATAGAAACATGTCTCCTAAATTCTAATTTTGGTCCATTTGTAATAGATTTCATGTTAATTTAGAAAGGATGAATGACATGAATTTTAATTGTCTATGACATGAGTCATAAATTAAAAAAAAAAATTTGTTGAAGATAGGACATTTTAAATTTTCGTTACACTGTTTTCAGGAAAAAAAATATTGTTTATTTTATAAAAATACTTTATTATCTAAGTTGAAAAAGAGGGGCAGAAAATTGAATTTCCAATCGATGATTGTTTCTCTCTTCTAGCTATTCTAAAAACAAAAGAAATAAAAACAGTACTGTAGCTGGTCATTGCTTGACCTATCTATTATACATATCTTGAGATATTATTCTTATAAAGAGTCACATTGCTGGGCAGATTCAAAGTTTAACGTTGGAGGCACAACTATATACATACAAAAATATAAGAAAAGATCAATTTTTAACTCTGAACTTAGCGATGTATATCAATTTCTACGCTAAATTAGCGATGTGTATCAATTTCTATGCTAAATTTTTAAATTATCAAAGGCACTTTAATTTAAACTTGGATAAGTCTATCTTAAACTTAAAAAATGTAATAATTTTCACCGTTTGATAAATTTTCATTAGAAAATTTGTTGAAAATGTATTCATATATAGTGTCAAATGAAATATAAAACATATATTTGTTATGAAATTTGATAGAATTCAAATAAAAACAATAATAGAGCTGAGACTACATTTGAAAGAGGTACATCCAAATTGCAAAGGAATGCAGAGACGATAGGGTACTGATGAATTTGAATCCTAGGTTTGGAGTTTTACAATAAGGTCGACTTAGACTTAATTTGCTCATACATATGATTTTTTTTTTTTTTTGGGTTAAAAAACAAAGTTAGGTTCTTGAACTAAATTAAATCAATCAAGTGTCTCAAACTCAAACTTAGCATCAACTTCCTATTAATTAAAATTAATTTTTTAGAATTTAGCTAGTAAAAAATTTCATTAGTTGTTAAGATAAGCTGGTTGATTTATAAACAATCTATATATATATAGATATACATATACATATATATATATATGTATATGTAGATGTATATATATGTATATGTATGTATATGTATATCTTCGTTTTTATATATATGTATATATATGTATATACATATACATATATATATAAACGAACCATTCCTTCAAAATGTATGTGAGAAACATGCGAGCAAAGGGGGCTAAAGGAAAGCGCTCCAATTTAGAGAAATAGTGGAAATGTCGTAATTAGAAAAATGAAATTTAGTAGACCAGGATGAAGCAGCCGTTTTTATGTCGTTTCATAGATGGGATGGAGATTTGGAGGTATCTCAACCGTTGTTTCTCTCTAACCAAATAAACCAAAATATGATATAGTGTATCAACGTTAACATCTCAAAATATTTTATAATCTTTGTTCATATAGGCAAAAAAATTAAAAAAAAAAAGAGGACACATCATTCACTCACAATATATGCATTTTGTATAGGTTGATACACAAAAATATAGCATAAATATTGTCCAATCTGAACTAATCAAGACATATATCTTCAATCAAATGATCGAAGATTGAATCCTCACCTCCACATATTATTAAATTAAAATAAAAAAAATACATAAACATTCTTAAACAACAAAGCAGACAACAAACACACATCTTTGTACTAGCACAAATAAGTTTAGGTACTTACTACGTATCTTCTACTTATCACCATTAAAAATTTGAAAGCTAAGAAAGATTAACAATGTATAAAGAAAAAAAAATAATAGCTCTCGAATTTTTAGTGGTGGTAAATAAAAAGATATACTTACCCCGCTAATTACATAATTAAGTTTATTATCCTTAATTAATTATAAAAATCAATAGGGCTCCCAAAAATAAAACTAGTCAGCACACCGAGACTGAGTCTACCGACGAGAGAGAACATCGACTTTCCAAGCTTTCCCCCTCCCGACTGCGGCGGAGGCGGCGGCGCTGTATATCCATATTGACTTACCTGATGATGATTCACATAATAATTGTAGGGATATCCATGGGGAAATCCGCAATAATACCCAAACCGGTAATCGGGAACGCCGTAAGGGGTGGCGTGGCCGTAAGGATGGCCTCCAAATGGGTAGTTAGGGTTTCCAAAAGGAGGATCAAAACCATAAGGAAATGAAGATGGCCCAGGCCGGCCGGTCGGTATCCCACGTGAGGTGCACCCACTCGACGGTGGTGGAGCGGCCGGCGAGACATAGGGCTCCAAAAGGCAATCAAGATGGATATTGAGTCCACAAATATGGCACCCGTAGACCCAGACAGAGGAACAGTCAATTTTACAAACCACACAGCTCCCAAACGGCGCCTTATGGAGCTTCAACGAGTGCTTCGGGTCTATCACATGGCGCAGGTGGTCAGGCAATTGGGTGCAAAGTGGGTGAACGTCAAAGTCGCAGTCTTTGCAGCGGTAGAGCAGCCCCTCCGCAGGGTCCCGGCAGATGTCACAGATTCGGTCGTTTTGGCGCGCCGCCAGATCGAGGGGGTGGTGGTGGACGAAGGAGGGCAATTTTTGGGGGCAATTGGCGCAGTATTCGTGAAGGTCGAAATCGCAGGCGTGGCATCGGAACCGGCTACCGGAACCGGAGGTCTTGCAGCCGTCGCAGATGTAATCTTGGTGGTCGTCGGAGTGGTGGAGCAAAGGGTGGTTTGGATGGGTGAAATGGAATTTGGTGTTCTTCGGCACCGGCGCCATCTTTCTCCGGTTAATTATCTGTTTTTTGGTTGGCTTCGTGGAGGGGAGAAAGCGTTTGGTTGTTGACTTGCCGTTTTGGCAAATAGGCGTGTAGATGTAGAGACTTTTTTACTTGGTTTTTATTTTATGTACTACTTTAAAATTGCACCATCATACATAACCCTCCTGACTCACAGTATATTGGTAGATACATATTATAATTATAATTTTATATCACTGTAGAAATATTTTTATTCCGTTAAGATAAGTTAATTAATGGGTCAAGATACAATTTATCTCTCAGTTTTTAGTCTTTTAATTAAACCAATGACGCCATCAATAAATTTGCCAAACATTTGATTTTATTGGTAAAATCATATCATAAAATAAAATTTAGTGTAAGATACATTTTGGTCCCTAAATTTTTAAGATAGGTTTTTATTTAGTTTCACACCAAAGACGTCATATCAATGGAGATGTTGTCCTTCCGTAGCTAATGTGAGACTTTGTTTGCACTCATTACAAACCCAATAATCCTCCGTTCGAAAAACGTGTTGTCGAACCTCTCCTCAAGTTTATTATTTGTTCGTCAAGTACTCTCGGACTAGAGCATAACCACGGATTACACCACGACTACATCGTTCGAGACTCACCACTTTTTTGTACGACACTCGAAGATTTCATCGACACAACTAGGTTTAAACCATGACTTTGATACCAAACGTTGGGAGTCCATTTGGATAAGGGACCCTTCAAATTTCCATGGTATAATATTGTCCGCTTTGGACGTAACCTCCTTTTTAGTTTTATTTAAAAGATCTCATATGAGTGAAGACGTGGTCTATCACATATATATTTATAATCTTCTCTTCCCAATGAAGGTGAGACTTTATTTTCACCTCTTGCGGACTCAACAAAAATAAATGAAAACAAATAGAAAATGAGGATGAGAGAGAAGAGGAAAGTTTCCAAATGAGATCTCTACCAACAATAACCCTTGATACAAAACAAAGAGATATCTTTTCCGTTTTAATAAATGTAAAAATAAATTATCATATATCAACCCAACTAGGTCTTTTAATTAAATTAAATAATTAATCTCCCATTATTTGGAGAATTGAAGCTGCAAATGAACTTGCATTATTACATTATTATCCCGTCTTATATAATTCAATAGATAAAGGAACTGCCAACTATTACCATTTCTAAAACGGGTAGTTTCACCCCAAAAACTTACATTATTATTGCGTGCACTACAAACATAACATTTGGCATTTGGTTACAATTCAATAGCAAATCAACGGAATCCATGGAAGTTTCTAAATTCAAGAGGAGAAGATGAAGAAACTAAAAAGGGCGAATTGGAATTAATCAAAAACCAGTGGAACCGAAAAGAAAGCCATTGATAGCACCCGAAGCTATACTTCCAATCAGAGAAAACATCGTACTCCCAAGCAGTGATCCCCACCTGGACGCCGACGGCGGCGGGTCATGTCCACCGCCTCCATTATCCGGCGAAGGACTCGGAATATCATTGTGTGTAGGAAATGGATTATCAGGTCCGGGAGGCGGATACACAAAATTGTAATTTGGATAAAACCCCCAAGGCGAAGGCCAATGGAGCCCATAATTATTATAATGCCCTCCATAACCATAGCCAGCAAAAGGAGGCGGTCCATGTGGCACCCCACGTGTCCTGCTGCCACTCCCCGGCGGAGCGTAGGGCTTACGTAGGCAGCTGAGGTGGACATTGAGTCTACAAATATCGCAGCCGTAGACCCAGAGAGAGGAGCAATCAGTGTTGCAAACGCCGCAGCTTCCAAAGGGGACTTTCTTGAGGGTGAGTTTGTGGGCGTTGTCTATGACGTGGCGGAGGTCGTTGGGGAGCTGGGTGCAGAGTGGGTGGACGTGGAAGTCGCAGAGATTGCACACGTAGGAGATGCCGGCGATGGATTCGCGACAGATGTCACAGATCGGACGGTGGTGGTTGGGATTGAGATCGAGATGGAGTGGGTGGTGGTGGAGGGAGGAGGAGAGGTGTGGGGGGCAATCGGCGCAGTACACGTGGATGTCGGCGACGCAGACAAGGCAGCGGAACCGGTCGCCGAAGCCGGAGGTGTTGCAGGCGGCGCAGATGTAATTGGACTTGTCGTGGGTGTTGTGAATCAGATGGTGGTGGGGATGGACGTGGGAGAACTTGGGTTTCACGTTGGTTGTCGCCGGACCCATTTTTCTCCTATCAGGACTCTAATTCCGAACGCCGAGGTTTATACTTTATAGCCACAAAACGAAGCGTTTTATGTATGCTGTACCACGACTCTTCCCGAAGACTTGACTTCGAATAGACGGAAGAATTTTTATCCATTTAATATTGACAAGGGAATAAATATTAGGTGTTGACAAAAAAATTATGTATATATATATATATATTATTGTTATTTTTCTTTAAAAAATTATAGATCTCTCAAATTTTTTAGAAACAAGATTCTAGGATAGATGCTAATGGATCAATATCGAAAAAATGTTGTAATAAATGTTGCGTCAAAAGTATATACTTTTTTTATAATTTTTATAATGAATACTATAAGTAATAATATTCTTTTAAAACATTAAATATAAATGGAGATATTTTTTTCAGTTATTTTAAACATGAAATTAGACACCAGTTTAACCTTTTAAATTTACCTTTTATCTTTTCTCAACTAAAACTTAATATTTTTCAATTTAATTTTTGAAATTTACATTTCAACTTTTCTCAACTAAAACTTAATATTATTAAATTTACCTTGTATAAATTAATTTGACAAGAAAAATGATGATTTAGTTTGTTAATTAATAAATTAATAATTATTAATTAAAATCTTATCTTTTACCTTCAATCTTATCCATCCATTTCATTAAATCTCAACTACCATTGATTTTAGGGTTTCAACTTTTAATTCCTTCCTCCCCATTTTGAATCTTTGGTTCTCTCTCTCCTCTAACATTTTCAATTTCATCTTCTTCTCTCCCATCTCTCTCTAACCTTAATTCCCTTCCCATTTTTTCACCTTTCTAAACAAATTCTTTTAGTTTGTCTATCGTTATGTCAATTGTTGCTTGTAATAAAGATTTAAGAATTTAATTTTTCTTTTTGTTTGAATTTGGACTTTAGATAAACATTGGATAATGTAAACTTTTAATATTTATATTAAATTAGGACTTACATGTTGGTTTCAATTAGGATTTGAATTTGTGCTTAAATTAAGATTTTGATTTTTTTTGATCTATGTTATAAACAAAACAAAAGTAAATTAATAATCAATTAAAAAAAAAAGAACCCCGCACCCCAACTAGAATTTATTGGATTGGGTTGGGTTGGCCATCGTTTTACAACCCGTCAGTTCCCACTAATTCCCAACCCGAAAATTCGGGTTGGTCCCAAAAACACTCCCAACCCAACCCGTGAACACCCCTAATTGCAATGTCAAATGGTGTCAGACAAAGTTGAAGCTTGTTAACTAACAACCGTCTCTTCAATTTTTTATATGAGTGTAATTCCACCTTTCAACAAATTTTGCTTTCATTTCAACGGTTGCTTTAGTGATTGTATTCTTCTTTAAACTTAGAGTTGCTCTTAACTAGTCGAACTGTCGGCCTACCAAACGTACTTTATGTTACGAAGTGCAAGTCACAAGGCCAACAACTAACTCCATGGTCTTCTCAAAGTCAAGTTATATTGTTAACACAATCTCTCATTAGTTTTGTTTTCTAAATTTAGTTCTCTCACCCCTCTATAAAAAGGTGGGAGCTTACAGTGTCGAACACACAGAAATCAAATCGTAAACTTCTTCTTGAGTTACTTCTTTACTTTTCGTGTTAATTGTTTTCTTAACTTGGTATCAGAGCAGGTCATGACGATCTCCAACTTACCCACTCCAACCGTGACTCCTCCAGCACTAGTGAGTGGCGCTGTCTTCACCAGTCCGCCGTTGAATCAACTACTTAATCATATCACCTCTATTAAAATGGATAGAGGAAACTTTCTATATGGCAAAATTTGGCTTTACCGATCCTGCGAAGCTACAAGCTATTTGACAACCTTACGGGAGACAAGCCATGCCCTCCCATGCATCTTGTTCCAACAGACACACCTACAAATATAGAAGGCAGCACCTCGTCGCAATCTTCCCCGACTTTGAACCCCGCGTACGAGGCGTGGATCGCAGTAGATCAACTACTCTTGGGTTGGCTTCACAACTCGATGACAGCGGACGTAGCCATGCAAGTTATGGGTTTTTGCACGTCGCGAGAACTATGGACAGCAGTTCACGAACTTTTTGGCGTCCAATCCAGAGCGGAAGTAAACTACCTAAAACAGGTATTTCAACAAACCCACAAGGGCTCGTTACAAATGACTGAATATTTAAAGCTTATGAAAAGTCATGTTGATAATTTGGCACTAGCGGGTAGTTCGGTCTCTGTTCGAGACTTGGTTTCACAAGTATTGATAGGCTTAGATGAAGAGTACAATTCCATCGTGGTGGCCGTTCAAGGCAAAGTAAATCCATCATGGTCAGAAATGCACGCAGAGCTTCTAACATACGAGAAACGGTTGGAATACAAAACTCCCTCAAAAGTGGCATCCCGATCAACCGGACTCAAACACCCTCAATGAACTATGTTGATGGGCGAAACTTCCAAACCAACCAGCGGACCAATAATGGAAACAACAATCATGGGTCAAATACTCATCGTGGCGGTGGTTATCAACGAGGAGGTTTTGGTCAACGTAATCGTGGTAGAGGTCGATGGGAAAGTAATAACAGCAACAATGGAAGCAGTGGAAATAGACCCATCTACCAGGTATGTAATCGGATAGGGCATATTGCTGCCGTTTGTCACTATCGTTTTGATCAAAACACAGGACCTCAACCCACCCAACATAAAAATTTCACCCCCTCAAATTCTGGACCCAATGTGTTTATTGCACATCACACTTCTACCACGGTCACTACCCTTGAGACTGTCTTTGATCCTAGTTGGTATGCCGACAGTGGAGCTACAAGTCATGTGACAGCCAACCCGAACAATGTTGAGCAAAAAGTTGATTACTCAGGTAGCGAAAATGTAATTGTCTCAAATGGCAATAAGTTATCTATCTCTCACATTGGATAGCACTAATATCCATGCCTCAGGTGGTTCTTTAAAATTGAAAGATGTTCTCTGTGTTCCTGATATAGCTAAAAACCTTGTTAGTGTCTCACGACTAGCTAAAGATAATGACGTCTTTGTTGAATTCCATACTGACTTTTGCTCGGTTAAAGACAAGGCTTCGGGAAGAACTTTGCTGAAAGAAACACTTAAAGATGACCTCTATCATCTTGATAGAAGTAACTGGTCACCACCCGCTGCTCCCACATTGACTGCACCGCTGTTTGCTCACACTGTTGTATCTCTATCGAATAATACTCTCAGTTCAGAGAAACCAACTCCTTCTTTCTCTTTTGCTGAACACATCAATGTAGTGGTGTCCAAAACCGTGTGGCATAAACGGCTTGGACATCCTTCCATTAAAGTCTTATATCACATCATTAGAACTTGTAATCTTCCCTGCAAGACTAATGAACCAATAAGTTTTTGTGATGCATGTCAGTTTGGAAAATCTCATGCCTTACCGTTTCATGACTCTCACTCTCATGCTACAGGAATGTTTGAACTAGTTCATACATATCTCTGGGGACCGGCACCTCACCTCTCTTCAGACGGGTTTCGATATTATGTCCATTTTTTGGATGATTACAGTCGGTTCACATGGATATTTCCTTTACATCAGAAAAGTGATACAATTATAGCTTTTAAACTGTTTTTATCTTTGATACAGAATCAATTCAAGACCCAGGTGATGACACTCCAATCCGATGGTGGGGGCGAATATCAACCAATTCATTCTCTATGCTGCAATCTTGGGATTCAGATCCGAGTCTCTTGTCCATACACTTCAGCATAAAATGGGCGGGCAGAGCGAAAGCATCAACACATAGTTGAGACTGGTCTCACACTTCTCGCTCAAGCATCTATGCAGTTGAACTATTGGTGGGATGCGTTTCTTACTGCCACCCTCTTGATAAACAGCATGCCTATGGCCGTTCTAAAATTCAAGTCTCCGATAGAAGCACTAGTTGAGAAGCAACTTGATCTCACATCTGTAAAGACCTTTGGGTGTGCATGTTTCCCCTATTTACGCCCATATCACAGCCAAAAGTTCCAGTTCCATACCATGAAATGTGTATATCTTGGATTTAGTCCAATGCACAAGGGTCATCGTTGTCTCAGCCCAACAGGAAAAGTATTTATCTCATTGCACGTCCAGTTCAATGAAACTG